GAATAAAGAAGGAAAGATGAGAGAGGAGAGGAGAGGCCTGTGTATGTTGATCTGGCACGAGGGAACACTACAGTCCAGATGCAGGCGTCCTGTTAGTTATCTTCCTCTCTGATGACATGGGTCATGACGGTTGTTGGGCACAGAGGTCGGAGGTCACATGTTTTTGTTGTTGTCGTGGTGATGGCACTGGCTGCAGGCAGGTGCGTCCAGGAAGGGAAGCTCCTGCTCTGGGCTGTGGAGTCGGAGCACTCTGGACTTCAGATCCACACAGCACTGCAGAAAATAGACACCGCTGTTTACTCTAGTAATTATTATGCTGGCTTGACAATGTCAGTGCTGTTGCCTTTGATCTGTTGTTCTGTCTGGGGTGAATTTCTCTATCAGCTACCGAGTTTGGACACCCCTGCACTACGCTATCCCATTTCCCAGTTTATTTGACTAGTGTTGGTGTTCTAGGTTGGCCGGCCCTGACCTGGTTGAACTAGGTGGGTTAGAGAGTGGTTCGGTTGGGCTCAGATGTGGTAAACATTTAGTGTGAGTGCAAAACTGAAGACTCTGTCACTTTTAAGGGACTGGGAAGCCGTCTGTGAAGAGGGGAGGGGACACAATCGCACCCGGGCTCAGTGCAAGGCAAGTGTGAGTACACCCTCAATCATTAACGAGAAGCTACAGCATAATACAGAAGTTCCCAACCCTTTTTGCCATGTTTAAACTAGGTATTACATAGCCCCGGAGGTTCAATTATTATGTTGTCCATTCATAAGACTTTTTTTTAAGAACAGTTTACAATTCCAGCTCATCCTGCAGCACCCAAACACATCACCGAACACAGAACATAGAGAAAAGAGCTGTCAGGATGCTTGAAGGGAAGCAAGATGTGAGCAGGCCGAGCACAAGCAGTACCTCCTTTGTGTGGACTCGGCAGCGTCTGACATCCTGCAGCCGAAGGTCAGTGGTTATGAGAGCGAGGGAGTGAGGTTGCGGGGAGATCGAGATGGAGTGATATGAGAGTGGCGTGTGTGCGTGTTGGTGAGTGAAAGAGATGCGGTGGTTGTGGAGGAAAGGTGAGGGGGAACACAAAAAAGCAGCCGTGAGTGGTGGGGAATAAGAGCTTTAGCTAAAGGATAAAAACTTGAAAGTAAACCAACAAAACAGCGGCTAACTACCTCTTACCAACCACTGACTTGACAAACAGAGAAAGATAGACACTACGGCAAGAGCGCAACAAAGCAAGAGAAACAGACTGGAAACAAAATGCAAACAATACAAACGATTTCAGTGAGACCCAGTTGGAGTCAGTGGAGTAAAGCAGAGCAGCAGAATGCTACAGCAGCCGAGCACAAGCTAAGCTACATGAAAACGATCGCATACATGAGGGTTTAAAAAAGGGCTGAAATATTTGGCAGAAGAGATTTCTATCGAAGTATGTCTGTTGTACGGTGGCCGGGAAGTGCAAAACAACATTACAAAGTGTGAAACACTTTTACAAAGCTGAAGAGAAATTTACATTTTGAAAAACATTTTTACTGATCATCAGACACAATTACATAGGAAAAACTATTTTACCAAGGATGAAACAAATTTACATTTTAGAAAAAAAAAAACAAGACGCAAAACACTTTTACAAATCCCGAAACAAATTTACAATTACAGATTCCCTACGGAAAGGGCATGTACCACACACCGGAAGTGACGTGAATGTACCACACACACTGGAAAATATCAGTAATATCCAGCTTGTGTATGACTTTGTAGACAGGATTTCGCAAGTCGACAACTATAAAAATTATGGTTTGACCAACTGCGATTAAAACATATTAGAGCTATTCTGAGAAAATGTCAGCGTGAGAGTGTGTAAAAACAATCAAAGCACAGCACATGTCACTGATAAAGATATCAAAACCGACCCCAATCTGTAGACCCGAGTAGCTCAGATAGATAGGTCGGTTGTTACTTACGCAGAACCTTTTGGCTTGGGTTCGAATCCCGTTGATGACATGTCAATTGAAATAATTTCTTTGCATTCATTTTGGTTTATACTGTTCTGCTACACAGGTATTAAAATCAATAATGTTTACACTGACACCAAGTAATAAGAATATTTATTTGGTATGGGCATGTTTTGTTGCCGTGAAAAAGTGACGAATCTGCCAATCTGCAAACGTGAATAGTTCACATCTGAAAAGGGGCCTCAGTTAACACGGACACCAGTTAAACCGTAACACCGGCTTCCTTCAGTTTACTGTTAAGATTCCTCAAACAGATGTTTACACCGTGTAGACTTGACATCATGTCCACGATTACAGCGTATGAGTGGCTCTCGTTAAAATATTAAACACATTGATGCAGTATGTCTGGTGTTTCCGTCTGCTCCGCGTCCTTTATAAACTCTAAACACAGACCACACATAAAGCAAAACCGCGTTAAGCTGCTCACGTGTTTGCCACAAAACAGGCAAAACAACCCTCGACCGCTGACCATGTTCGGTCACCATAAACCTTGTTTGCACCATGTACTCCACAGCACGAATTAACCGCGCTCACCAACAACAACAACAAATTTCCCCTGCGTCACTCCCGGTGTGGTACATTCACGTCACTTCCGGTGTGTGGTACATGCCCTTTCCGAAGGGAATCTGTAATTGTAAATTTTTTTTTCTAAAATGTAAAATTGTGTTGTCCTTGGTTAAATAGTTTTTCCTATGTAATTGTGTCTGATGATAAGTAAAAATGTTTTTTTCAAAATGTAAATTTGTCTCGAGCTTTGTAGAAGTGTTTCACACTTTGTAATGTTGTTTTGCACTTTCCGGCCACCGTACTGTTGGCACTGAACAAGTGCACAAGGTATTTTTGAATCCAAATGTGAGAAAACATTGAGATAGAAAGCTTTGCTTGCTGAATTGTTTCTCTTGTTGATTAGATTACTTTAGGTCCAACCCTTTTAACTTGATCTATTTGAAATGTACTTTGAAATTGATTGGTTAGTGTTTCTATGTGACGGCTTTTCAATCTGATCATTAAATGAATTGCTAATGGATTGTTTGATTGGCATCTAAATGTAGCTACTTGTCATATACCGATTTTGGCTCCTTTTTTGAGCAGGGCGACCACCACTGATGTGTTTCTGCAGCCGACAGCTCGGTCCAGAGGACGCATCCCACTGTAGTCCACATGCTCTACCAAAGCCCCATGATCCACCAGGAACTGCACCTGGTAGAAAAAAAGAGTAACGTTAAAGCATAATATTTCAGGATTTGCAGAGGAAACAATTTTGATGGAAAACAACCGCAAGATGACATTTCTACACTTCCCCTTTATTCCATGCTCTGTTGAAGTTCTTGATTTGGATTGGCTTGAGGTTTTTGCAATAAAATAATTTTGTTAATTTCAGTCTGTGACCGGCATGACCTATGGCGCTTGCAATTCGCATTGCCTTGCATTTATACTTCTGTATAAAACCTGCTTGTCCAGCCTAGCCAAGCTGGGAGTCCAGCCAAAACCAGCTATACCCAGCTTGGCTAGGCTGGACAAGCAGGTTTTAGCTGGTCATGCTAAGACCAGGCTGGAAATGGTTGGAAACCACCCTGGAAGTGCCCCAAACCCCTCTAAAACCAGTCTGGTCGACCAGATAAAACCAGCCAACCAGCCTAGGCTGGTTTAAGCTGGATTTTTCAGCAGGGGTGATTTGGATTTAGGGGAATATTTAGAAATGTTGGTCTCAGATTAAGCCCAAATTGAAATATCACTCACCACATCTGAATCTCCATAGAAAGCAGCCAGATCCAGAGGGGTTCGTCCGTTTTTATCAGCATGGTCTGTGGCAGCACCTCTTTCCACCAGGCAGCGAACTACCGACAGATGCCCTTTCAAACATGCCCAGCTGAGTGCAGTCAGACCCTCCTTATCCATAAGATCCATTGATGCCCCTACATCCAAAATGCATAAGACGTGAGGTATATTTAACCCAACCCTCAACAACTGTGTTTTTGTTTCATATATATGTGTGTATCCTGTACCCTGAGCCATTAGGAACTCGACCGTGTCCAGGTGCCCCTCTGAAGCGGCCATCATGAGTGGAGTACGGCCTTGTTTATCAGCCAGGTTTACATCTGCACCATGTGACACCAACAGATCCACAATCTGAAAGAGAGGACGGACTTCAGATATATCTAGGTCCTATTTAAATGTGGCATTAAGATGCATTTATGTTGACCCAATCACAAGTGGATAACGCAAGGTAAAAGGCATCCTTGAAATCCTTGAAAAGGATATCAAGTAAAGCCACTGCACTGGTCAGGTACTATAGCCTGCTTGGATGTTGGTGTCTGACCCCTTGTTTTTCAGATGTTAGCTATTGATGTGGAGATGCCGTTGCCCTAAAAAGCGGAGTAAAATAGTCATAAAGAACATGATAAACTAGAACCTAAAGTTCATTGATAAACTTTGATGTTGGCTTGAGAAAGCCAACGTGACTGCACTAGGACTGGGAATGGCAGTTGGCAGGAAGCACGGCGGCGGTTGCTAAGTGGTTGCTAGGCAGTTGCTAAAACGTTTATGGCATTGTTAGGTGGTTGCTAAGCAGTTGCTAAATGGCAATGCTTGTGTACATGTTTGATCAAATGCTAATACTTAGTAGGCATTTCTAGCATATGTTATTTCATTTAAATGATCATTCATAGCATGTAGCTAATCGTTATTAGCACTTGGCTTCCATTATCATTGTTACCATGCATAGTACACAGGAAGTCCCATTTGCTAGCATGAGTCAAACAAGCCAATGCCCAGGTCCCTACGATGTTCTGATGTAGAGATATTGCTATTTTTAAATGGTTGCTAGGTTATACTGTTTTATTGCTATGGGGACATTTGACAGGATAGTGATGATACATCAAAGCTTCTTGGCAATATGAGTGATCTTAATCAACCCCGATGTTTCTATGACAGTCTTTATGAGTGTCAAAAACTGGACTTGAACATTATGTATTCCTGGTGTTGGGTTGCGGCTGGAAGGGCATTCGCTGTGTAAAACAAATGCTGGATAAGTTGGCGGTTCAATCCGTTGTGGCGACCCCTGATTAATAAAGGGACTAAGGGAATGAACATTATGTAAAAATGGCTTGCCGTATTTTTTTTTAAATACAATGCTTAATAAGTGTGAAAATGATATATGCAAAGATGGCTTCCCATATCAGTAAAAAATATGGAGTTTAAGTCAAAAATGGCTTGCCATATTTAAAAAAAAATAATGCTTAAAAATTATTTATTGGAAAACTATAAGTCTGATAAACCTTAAAGATATAGCAACAAAATCTAACACATCTAAATACAGATTTTGGCCAAATTTGGGGCTTGTATAATTTTTTCATATGCCCGGATTATAAAAATTTAATATTTAACATTTTTTATATTAAAAACGATAAGTCTTATAGGCATGAGGAGATATAGCAACAATCTTGAATGTAGAAGGCACATTTTGACCACATTTGGGCCTTGTGGCATGAACGGCCTAGGAGGAGATACGTTTGTTTTCAAGGACAGAGTAGTATAACAGTAAGTTGGCTTTCTCAAGCCAACATAAAAACTAAATGTACATATACCGAAGGAATGGTATAACATAAAAATTTTAGGGGTTTTAAAACCATGACTTTTTAAAACCACGGTAAACCTTAAAACCGGTTACAAGCCTACCACAAAGTGAACCGACTTTCCTTGAACAGACTTTGATACAGCTGAAACATGTAGATGGATGCTCCATCATTTAAAGGACAACGCTGGAAAAAGCATCTTTATGAATTACCTGCCAGTGTCCTTGGCGCACGGAGCTGAAGAGAGGCAGGACTCCTCTCCGGTTGGGCTGAGCCACAGCAGAGCCCTGCTCCAGCAGCAGTCGACAGACCTCCAGCTTCCCCCGTCCCGCTGCTGCTGACAGAGCTGAGGAGAAGAGCAGAAGACACTCGTCAATCAAACAATACATTTAAAAAACCAAAGAAATTGAAATGCATTGCTGAGACATGTTACAAAGGCTGTGAACTATGGAGTACTGAATTGTGGAGTTGGACTGTGAATATGGAGCTAGATTAGTGTCAATTGTAATTCATGCAAAAAACATGATGCACTGCAAAAAATGCTTTATTTTAGTCTTGTTTCTAGTCCAAATATCTAAAAGTATTTAAATCAAGCAGCATTTTCTAGACAAGCAAAAAATAATGCCTTGTTTCAAGAAAAAACGTGTCAAAATTATGTGAGATTTTAATTAAAACAAGCTTACACCATACGCAGATTATTTTGCTTGTTTTAAGGTAAAACCCACTTCATTTTATTCAAAATTATATTAAAAAAAAGTTTAGAAAAGACTTCTTGATTTAATTTTTTTTAGATATTTAAACTAGAAACAAGACACAAAATTGAAGTAAGATTTTTTTTTCAGCGTGCATAGACAAATTTACATGCATGAAATCAAATTTATGTCCACAAAATTAAGCGAGAAGACACAATAAAAAAAAAAACAGTTTACGTGCACAATATAAAAATACATATTTATAAAATATGTTTCACAAATGCAAAACTCTTTACAAATGTATAAAGTTTTGAATGTTTAAAGCACTTATAGCATTTGTGTGTGTATTTTTGAGACTTTCTAGCAGCGCACTCCTCTCATGCATGTCACTTGTACCCTTTAGCTAATCAGAAGCGAGCTCACTGTTCAACCAATCATAACCTGCCGAGATAATCAAGGTGCTCCACCATGCACACCGATTGTGCAATCTGAATTTAATTTTACAAAAGTGCAGGAATTTGGTTTCATGCATATAAATTTGGCTACGCAAGTTTTTTTTTTTTTTTTTGCGTGAATTATTACTGAGACCATATGTGAAACAGTTTAGGTAGTTTTTCTGTGTGAACTTACAGTACTTACAATACTCATATTTATGATGCAAAAGTGCAAAAATATGCAAATTAAGAGCAAAAAATACATTCATACATTCATTTTCCTTCAGCTTAGTCCCATTCATGTAACTTTTACACAGTGGATGCCCCATACACTCGCATTCACACACACTCGCACACTAAGGCAAATTTTGTTTACCTAATTCATCTGTACCATATATCTTTGGACTGTGGGGCAAACCAGGGCACCTGGAGGAAACCCACACCAACACGAGGTGGGCTACAAGGGCAAACTTCACACACAAATGACAACTGATCCAGCCGGAACTCGAACCAGTGACCTTCTTGCTGTGAGGCCACAGTGCTAACCACTGAGGCACGGTGTCACCGCAAACCAGTATATTTAAAGTGTTGTAAATCAGTCACTTGAGACACATTCATAGCATGAAAAAAAATCTCATTTACCTGTTTCACCCCACAGGGTGTCACAGCTGTTAATCTGTGCGCGTTGAATGTCCTCTTCATCCCTCTCAGGCAAGTCCAAGAGATAAGACACAATCTTAAAGACACACACACACACGCTCAATTAGTAAGAGTGTCCGTTTGGTCTCGCAAAACACATCCAAACTAGGATTTCTAGATTTGGTCTTGCTTTCCTGTTTTCATACCTACAGACAAACGGTCAAAGCGATGCAAATATGTATACACACAACACCCAGAGTACTTTACCTCAGTGTAACCCATGCTGGCGGCAGCTATAAGGGCCTGCTGGATGGCGATGCTCTTATTAAAGCTCACAGATGATGGAGACGAGGAGCGCTCAGCCTGTGTGTCCTCCTGCGTCTGTTTTTCAACCTCTTCTTTTGGAGACTCTTCCCGATTCTGCTCTTCTTCTTGAGGCGTCTCTGCTGGATCCTCCTGCTGTTCTGGGCCTGAGGGTGGAGATTCTGTGGGCGTGGCCTGTGTGGGCGAGGGCGTGGCATCTGGTGGGGTGGGGGATGGTGTGGCCTGTGGTTGTGAAACTGGAGAGGGCGTGTCCTGGGACTGTGTGGGGGAGGGGCTCTGGAGGTGAGTTTGACCCCAGTCGTTTTGAATGAGGAACTTGAGCACGTCCAGGTGTCCTCGGAGAGCAGCGTGCACCAGCGCACACTGACCATGCTTGTCCAAGTGGTCCAGCTATGGAGAAGGCAGAAAGACAAGTCAGAATTATTCGCCCATCTATCATTTTTAAAAAAAATTATTCTGAAGCGATGTTTAACAGAGCAAGGAAATGTTCAAAGTATGTCTGATGGGTCGTTCATGAACGATTCGTTCATTTTGAACGAATCTTCAATATGACTCGGGCACTACGAGTCCTCTCAGGGAGTGATTCGTTCATCCGCACATTTGTGCAGGTGGTATCGGCCATTTCAAGTCTTTTGAGTCGTTTATCATGGAAAGGCAGAAGCCAATCATTTGCGTTTAGAGCCGGAAAAAGAATTGAACCGTTCATCTCTCGAGTCCTCTATCGGGTCTGAGTCATTCGTTCCTCACGGGCCAATCATATGCGTTTAGAGCCGGAAAAAGAATTGAACCGCTCCACCATCGAGTCCTCTATTGGGTCATAGTCATTCGTTCATCACGGGCCAATCATATGCGTTTAGAGCCGAAAAAAGAATTGATCCGCTCATCTCTCGAGTCCTCTATAGGGTCTGAATCATTCGTTCATCACGGGCCAATCATATGCGTTTAGAGCCGGAAAAAGAATTGAACCGCTCCACCATCGAGTCCTCTATTGGGTCATAGTCATTCGTTCATCACGGGCCAATCATATGCGTTTAGAGCCGAAAAAAGAACTGATCCGCTCATCTCTCGAGTCCTCTATAGGGTCTGAATCATTCGTTCATCACGGGCCAATCATATGCGTTTAGAGCCGGAAAAAGAATTGAACCGCTCCACCATCGAGTCCTCTATTGGGTCATAGTCATTCGTTCCTCACGGGCCAATCATATGCGTTTAGAGCCGAAAAAAGAATTGATCCGCTCATCTCTCGAGTCCTCTATAGGGTCTGAATCATTCGTTCATCACGGGCCAATCATATGCGTTTAGAGCCGGAAAAAGAATTGAACCGCTCCACCATCGAGTCCTCTATTGGGTCATAGTCATTCGTTCATCACGGGCCAATCATATGCGTTTAGAGCCGAAAAAAGAATTGATCCGCTCATCTCTCGAGTCCTCTATAGGGTCTGAATCATTCGTTCATCACGGGCCAATCATATGCGTTTAGAGCCGGAAAAAGAATTGAACCGCTCCACCATCGAGTCCTCTATTGGGTCATAGTCATTCGTTCATCACGGGCCAATCATATGCGTTTAGAGCCGAAAAAAGAATTGATCCGCTCATTTCTCGAGTCCTCTATAGGGTCTGAATCATTCGTTCATCACGGGCCAATCATATGCGTTTAGAGCCGGAAAAAGAATTGAACCGCTCATTTCTCGAGTCCTCTATAGGGTCTGAATCATTCGTTCATCACGGGCCAATCATATGCGTTTAGAGCCGGAAAAAGAATTGAACCGCTCCACCATCGAGTCCTCTATTGGGTCATAGTCATTCGTTCCTCACGGGCCAATCATATGCGTTTAGAGCCGAAAAAAGAATTGATCCGCTCATCTCTCGAGTCCTCTATAGGGTCTGAATCATTCGTTCATCACGGGCCAATCATATGCGTTTAGAGCCGGAAAAAGAATTGAACCGCTCCACCATCGAGTCCTCTATTGGGTCATAGTCATTCGTTCATCACGGGCCAATCATATGCGTTTAGAGCCGAAAAAAGAATTGATCCGCTCATCTCTCGAGTCCTCTATAGGGTCTGAATCATTCGTTCATCACGGGCCAATCATATGCGTTTAGAGCCGGAAAAAGAATTGAACCGCTCCACCATCGAGTCCTCTATTGGGTCATAGTCATTCGTTCATCACGGGCCAATCATATGCGTTTAGAGCCGAAAAAAGAATTGAACCGCTCATCTCTCAAGTCCTTTATCGGGTTTGAGTCATTCGTTCCTCACGGGCCAATCATATGCGTTTAGAGCCGGAAAAAGAATTGAACCGCTCCACCATCGAGTCCTCTATTGGGTCATAGTCATTCGTTCATCACGGGCCAATCATATGCGTTTAGAGCCGAAAAAAGAATTGAACCGCTCATCTCTCAAGTCCTTTATCGGGTTTGAGTCATTCGTTCCCCACGGGCCAATCATATGCGCTTAGAGCCGGAAAAAGAATTGAACCGTTCATCTCTCGAGTTTGGGTTTGAGTCATTCTGTCATGTGATGAACGAACGACTCAAGAGCCAGAAGACTCGAAAGGTGAAGTAATTATTATGGCTCCTATCGACTCAGACTGTGTACATTGCTTAAGATTATATGTGACTGTCAGTGTAACGTGAACGAACCACTGACATTTGAAGAGGTGAGCTGAGCAAAGAGACAACAATACCTTCATAGACAAAAGAGCAGGTCAACATTGAATTATTATTTTCTCCTTCCTATAGTATTCAGTTTATGACTTATTTGTCGTGTGATCAACCTTTTGGGCTAGTTGTAGATGTGTTTGGAAGCAATTCATAACATTTGAATCATATTTTGGCAAATTGAACCAAATGAACGAAATGACTCGAAAAAAGATTCGTTCATCTCGATGTACAAGACCTTAAAGATCCGAGTCAGTAAAATGATCCGAACTTCCATCACTAATGTCTAATAATAATTTTTCTTCTGGAGAAAGTCTTATTTGTTTTATTTTGGCTTGAATAAAAGTTTTTAATCTTTTAAAATCCATTTTAAGCTCAATATTATTAGCCCCCTTAAGCAATTTGTTTTGGATTGTCTACAAAATAAACCACTGTTATACAATGACTCTAACTTTAGCCTAATTAACCTAGTTAAAGTAACTTTAAGCCAAATACTAGTATCTTGAAAAATTTCTAGTCAAATATTATCCACTCTACAGTTCAGAGACGGGTGTACCTTTGCTTTCCTCTTGCAGAGTGAGGTGACGATGCTGAGGTGTCCGGCGGCGGCCGCGTAGCCCAGTGGAGTGAGTCCACTCTCAGACGGCGAATCCACACCGGCTCCATTCTCCAGCAGCAGATTCACCATGTCTGCGTAGCCCAGATGAGCATGAACACACAGCACTGGAGCGTTGTTCAGCACCTCCGTACGGTAGTTCACATTCGCACCACCCAGGATCAGCAGCCGGGACACCTGAACACAATTACAATTTAAAGGGACAGTTCACCCAAAAATGAAGATGTTTTGAAGAATGCTGGTTGCTGGCCCAAATGGATCATTTTATGTATCGGAGGCCAGCTAGTAAGTGCTGTGCAGGTAAACCTCACACCTCTGACCTGTAAAGGTGCTCTAGCAACAGACGCTAAAGGCCATAGTCTTTAGCCTCCTTGGTAGAGCACCCAAGTCCCATGCGGAAGGTTGCCGGTTTGATACCAGCTTAAAGCAGGTTGGGTGATGTAAGACCGACAGGGGTTACATTGGCACCAGGATGGGAGTGAGGTTTAGGGGGGTTAGTGTAACGGAGGCCAGCTAGTAAGTGCTGTGCAGGTAAACCTCACTCCTCTGACCTCTAAAGGTGCTCTCGCAACAGATGCTAAAGGCCATAGTCTTTAGCCTCCTTGGTAGAGCACCCAACTCCCATGCGGAAGGTTGCCGGTTTGATACCAGCTTAGAGCGGGTTGGGTGATGTAGGACCGACAGGGGTTACATTGGCACCAGGATGAGAGTGAGATTTAGGGGGGTGAGTGTAACGGAGGCCAGCTAGTAAGTGCTGTGCAGTTAAACCTCACTCCTCTGACCTCTAAAGGTGCTCTAGCGACAGAGAGTAGAGGCCATGGTCTTTAGCCTCCTTGGTAGAGCACCCGACTCCCATGCGGAAGGTCACCGGTTTGATACCAGCTCGGAGCGGGTTGGGTGGTTGTAGGACCGGCGGGGTTCCATTGGTGCCGTGACCCGGATGGAAGTGAGGTTTAGGGGGTGAGTGTAACGGAGGCCAGCTAGTAAGTGCTGTGCAGGTCTGTAAACCTCACTCCTCTGACCTCTAAAGGTGCTCTAGCGACAGAGAGTAGAGGCCATAGTCTTTAGCCTCCTTGGTAGAGCACCCGACTCCCATGCGGAAGGTCGCCGGTTTGATACCAGCTAAGAGCGGGTTGGGTGATGTAGGACCAACAGGGGTTTACAAGAATGTTTATGATACTTTTAATGGGCATGAGCATCTTAAGCCATTTTAAATATTAAATTAAGCATTATTAATAGATTAATAATACATTTTATTAATAATAATGATGATATTAAACCTCAAATTGACTACCAACATTAACTTTCATTGTAATGACATTTTTTAATTGCAAAGCCTTGACAGCATATAATCATGCATTCTTGATTTTTGCTGGTTTTCCCTCTTTGTAAGAGGTAAAGTTAATTTTTTTTACTGTTAATCATCAGTTGGTAGCATTAACCCTTTAGATAGGCCTGTGCAAAACAGTTTCTGGCTTTTATATGGAGTTCTGTGGAGTAAAACAGCAGGTTATAGTCAGTGGCAGATTTAAGCATGGGGAATATGGGCGATCGCCCAGGGCGGCATCTTGCTGGGGGAAGGCACGTGGAGACGGTGCAAAAAAACAAAACAAAAAAACAGCCCCAATAAAAGCTTTGAGATACGATTTACTTTATGCAAGTGTATTAATTTAGAGTGGTAATCCCAGAATAAAGATGTTAGAGGCCATTCACAGTTGACGTCTTTTGCATGCGCAAGTTTGTTAATCTGTGTGTGCAACTGAAACAATGCTAGTGAAAGCAAACCGACACAAGTGCACAGAAAACCATTCCCACGCGCCTCACGCGCTGCTCTGCTCCCCGGTGTGAATACCGGTTGTTTACATGCATGCCGATAAAATACACGCCACTTATACGCTGTGAAAATGGAGTAATTTATGCAGAGGTGTCGGCACGCAACAAGCTTTACAAGTCGACAAAAAGTCGACTAAAGTTACAATATGGTGATGATTCTATTTTGACTAAGCAAGGCTATGAAGCTGAAGGGAGAGATGATGAGTCAGGGAGGTAAGACTTAATAACAATAATTCTCGGCCATGAGTCGAGAAAACAGATAATTGCATGAAACATATTTTGTATTCTATAGAATTGTCTTTAATATTCATGCAGAAGATTTCTTAAGTTATCTCAGCATATTACTCTAGTTTTATCTTATATTTTGGATTGATTTCTGTTATTTATTTAGAATAAAAATTGTATTTTAATAATAATAGTTTTATTTATTTGTATTAAAGTACTTTCTAAAAGTATATATATATATATATATATATATATATATATATATATATATATAT